TATTTCACTGATTGGCTTAAGGATCTCACAGCCCAATCATTTCCCCTCTGAACCATCTCACATTGTCTCTCAAGTGAGCTTTTGGAGAACCTCTCACACCCAAACTACAACAGTTAATTCTCTCTTTTGATATGAAGACCACCATCCAGCCTCACAAGGAACAGTCTTTGTCATAAGTTATTAATTCAAAATAAATATTAAAACCTATTTTTATATCTTTTTGTAACTCTTTATTCAAGCATTATACTATACAAGCTGATAGCATTTTATATGACGTATTTGTACATGTACACAAAGACACAATATGACAATATAAGTTGGCCAGTATCACTTCCCAGCACTTTCCCCCACCCTTTTCTCCTCTGATCCTTTGTCTCCTTCCCTCTCCTGATCTCCCACAGATTTTCATGAGATTCACACCAGTCTTTCCTTTTCCTCTCTAGCTTCCACATATGAGAGAAAACATAAAATCCTTGATTTTCTGAGTTTGACTTATTTTGTCTAACACAATTATCTCCAGTTTCATCCATTTTCATGCAAATGACATAATTTAATGTTTTCTTTATGGTTGAATAACACTTCGTTATGTATATGTACCACATTTTCTTTATCTATTCATTCATTGGCAGACACCTAAGCTGTTTCAGTAATTTGGCTATTGTGAATTGTGCTGCTTAAAATATGAGTATGAAGGTATCATTGTAATACAATGTCTCTAATTCTTTGGGAGTAAGTATTAAGAACTTGTATAGCTGGGTAATATGATGGTTTCATGCCTAGTCTTTGAGAAACCTCCATATTGACATCCATATGGTAGTACTAGTTGACAATCTCATCAACAGTGAAAAGTTGTTTCTTTATTTCCACATTTTATTCAGCATTTATTATTCTTTTTATTTTTGATGACTACCATTCTGACTTGTTTGAAATGTAATCTCAGTGAAGTGTTGATTTGCATTTCCATGAAGGTTAAAGACATCAAACATTCTTTTTCCATATTGTTGTTGGTCATTTGCATGTCTTCTTTTAAGAAGTATATGTTTAATTTATTTGCTGATTTAACAATTTGGTTATTTGGTGTACATTTTGTTTGAGTAATTTCTATATTTAGATATTAATCCTTTGTCACAAGAGAGCTAGCAAAATTTTTTTCCCATTCTCTAGGTTCTCTTTTCACAATTCTAATGGTTTTCTTTGTTGTGTGCAGAAGCTATCTAATTTGATACTTTCCCATTTATTAACTCTTGGTATTATTTCCTGAGCCTGAGGGCTTCTCTTGAGAAAGTTGTTATATGGTGAAGTTGTTAATTAAAAAACAGATCCTTCATTTTCTTCAAGGAATTCCATAGTTTCTGATCTAATTACAGGGCCTTTGATACACTTGTGGTTCATTTTTGTTTAGGGTGGGACAAAGGGGTATAATTTCATTCTTCTACACATGGAAAAGCCATTTTCCCAACATAATTTATGGAAAAGGCAAACTTTTCTCCAATGTATACTTTTGGCACCTTTGTCAGGGATTAGATAACTGTACATATGTGTGGTTTTCTCTGTATCTTCATTTTTGTACCAATGGTGTGTGTATTTTATGTTAATTCTGTGCAGTTTTTGTTACTATAGCTCTGTAGTATAATTTTAAGTCAGACATTGTGGTGCCTTTAGCATTGCTTTCTGGGATCAGAATTACTTTGGGTATCCTAGGTCTTTGATAATWCCAAATAAATTTTAGGACTCTTTTTTTCTAGTTCCGTGAAGAATGCCATTGCTACTTTTATAGGGATTTCACTGAATCTGTATATTGCTTTTGGTTATATGGCCAAGATTAGTATTCATCAAATAGTTATAAATATTACAAATCACCAAACAAAAATATGAATAGTCATGTATACAAATAGATGAAGGAGATGGATAGGAAATTCACACAAGTGAAAATGGCTATGAACATGTAAATATAACAACTGTCACATATGGAAATTGAAGGTACTCAATAAAATTCAGTAAATTCAATAAATCCTGTAAGTACATTATAAGTACATGGAACATACCTCAACACAATTAAAGCCATATATTCAAAACACACAGTTAACATGATATTGAGTAAGAAAAAAGTCATTTTTCCCCTAAGTCTGGGAGTGAAAAAAGAATGTTAACTTTCACCATTCTTACCCAATATAATATTTGAAGTTCAACTCAGAATGATTAATCAAAGAAAGAAATTTCATTGAAATTGGAAAAGAAGAAGTCAAATTATCACCATTTTGATTCCACATGATCTAATGTAGAGAAAAACCTACACACTCCACCAGAAATCTTTTGAATGCAAAAGATCAGAGGAAGTACTCTTGATAATGTTTGTGGATAAAAAAATGAATATACAAGAGTTGCTAGTATTTCTAAACACCAATAAGAAACTACCTGAAAAATCAAGAAATCAAACCAGTTTACAATAGTTTTAAAAAATCATTATCAAGGATTTAATTTAACAAGAAAG